ATTATTTCCAGGACTTTTCTGGCTTTTTTTTATTAATATCTTTATCATATAATGTTCCTGAATAATAAGTTTCCTTTCTTCCTGTATAATTCTCTATGGCATAGAAGGGAAGTAGAAAAAGGACACTAAAATCGAATTCTACATCTTTCATTCTAATTAACCCATTTTTTAAAAAAACAGACTTTATGTGTACAACACAAATGGCAACAGATAACAAAAATAATTTAGCACAACATTCAAGCAGTTTACTAAAACAAATTATTATTGCATAGACCACAGCAATTAATACCAATTTTTTCAAGTGACTCAACCAATACATAAAATTATTTTAGGCATTGTTAGCCAATTGCTTATCGATCAGTATTTTGACTGCATGCTTATATTTCAGACAAATTTATCTTTGAATGTCTTTTTTCACACAACATTATATTTACTACCTTTTAAGTACATCTAAGCTATTATAGAACTGGACATGGAACAACAGACCGGTTCCAAATAGGAAAAGGAGTACATCAAGGCTGTATATTGTCACCCTGCTTATTTAACTTATATGCAGAGTACATTATGAGAAATGCTGGGCTGAAAGAAGCACAAGCTGGAATCAAGATTGCCGGGAGAAATATCAATAACCTCAGATATGCAGATGACACCACCCTTATGGCAGAAAGTGAAGAAGAACTAAAAAGCCTCCTGATGAAGGTGAAACAGGACAGTGAAAAAGCTGGCTTAAAGCTCAACATTCAGAAAACTAAGATCATGGCATCCGGTCCCATCACTTCATGGGAAATAGATGGGGAAACAGTGGAAACAGTGCCAGACTTTATTTTTTGGGGCTCCAAAACCACTGCAGATGGTGATTGCAGCCATGAAATAAAAAGACACTTACTCCTTGGAAGGGAAGTTATGACCAACCTAGAAAGCATATTAAAAAGCAGAGACATTACTTTGTCAATACAGGTCCATCTAGTCAAGGCTATGGTTTTTCCAGTAGTCATGTATGGATGTGAGAGTTGGATTGTGAAGAAAGTTGAGCGCTGAAGAATTGATGCTTTTGAACTGTGGTATTAAAGAAGACTCTTGAGAGTCTCTTGGACTGCAAGGAGATCCAACCAGTCCATCCTGGAGGAGATCAGTCCTGGGTGTTCATTGGAAGGACTGATGTTGAACCTGAAACTCCAATACTTTGGCCACCTGATGCAAAGAATTGACTCATTGGAAGAGACCCTGATGCTGGGAAAGAATGAGGGCAGGAGGGGAAGGGGCAACAGAGCATGAGATGGTTGGATGGCATCACCGACTCAATGGACATGAGTTTGGGTGGACTCTGGGAATTGGTGATGGACAGGGAGGCCTGGTGTGCTGTAGTTCATGGGATCACAAAGAGTCAGACACAACTGAATGACTGAACTGAACTGAACTGAAGCTATTATAAGAACTCAGTATAAAAGCTGAATATGGGAAGATGAGAGCTAACAATGTCTTAAAAAATAGTCCTATGTTGTCCATAAGCTATAAGATTTTTTCCTATCAAATATCAATGGGAATACAATTTGAAAATACAGTTGACATAGCCACTCAATGGTACTCATCATAAAGCAAAACAACTGAAACAATAAGGTATGCCCCAACATTTTTACACAATAGTGATATCATAATATAAGTGGCCAATACAGTTTGAATTCTTCAAGGAAGTAAAAATAATGGGTATGGAAAACCACTCAAAATTTTGCCACAGATTTTTAGTGTTCCTCTGTATCAGAGGAGACAATTAGCATAAAATTACTTGCATCTTATGTTCTTATGTGTATTTTACTGTAATAAATGTTTTATAATTTCCAATTGCAATATTTTTTCTTTTCAACTAAAAATACAAAAGGTACTTGCAGAATACTAAACAAAAATAAAAAGTAACAGATTATTAGATATTAGAGGACTGCCAGTTTGAAAAGCATACTGTAGGGTCAACATTTCCCCCTTTTTATTCCTGCAAATCAGCCCAAAAAATAGACGATGAGAAACAATTATACAAATGTCCTATTCATTGAAAATAGCAAACAGCGATGTCTTAGACCTCCAGGTCAAAAGAATGGTTCCAAAATCAGATTTCAAAAAGGGCTAACAAACATAGCTTTCTCTAAGGCTAGAGGTCATGCTTTTCTATATTGTAGACATGAGGCAACAGTTTCAGGTAGAAGCATCTGTGGAAGTGGTTTGGTTCCAAAAAGCAGAAAAAGTGAGGCTAAATGAAAAACTGTACAGAAAAGACAAAGCTGTAGAAAGCAGCCTATGTCTGTGAAAACAAAGAAAAGTCTTTCATTGTGGGGGTGGGAAGGAACAAACAACAAAACCCACATTCTTTATCTTCATTGGTGAGACCAAGAAAAACTCACTTTGTTCAGTGATACAAAAGAAAAACTGGACCAGCCCAGGATCCATATGAAGGTAACTATGAGAGAAGGAGCAAACCAACTGCACATAAAGAATCACATACTAAAATCACATTGCCATAAAAGTAGAAAATTGTGACCAAGCATTTTTCCATGAACTTTTAAAATGTAATAAATTATGATCACCCTTTTGAAACAATTATACAATGGAGAAATACAAGGTGTTAAGGAAAAGATAAGAACAAGAAATTCATTGTAAACTTCCAGTGTTCAACCAAATGTTAGTAAAGCAATATAAAAATGAAGAAGAAATTTGAAATAATACAGGGGAAGAGAGAGTACAGAAAATATAAGAATGTAGCAAGGACTGAAGTGATGAATACAAGCTAAGTATTAATAAACTGATATTAATAAAGAATCAAAAATAATTAGAAACTGTAGAGTATATTAAGACAAATCAAACACACATATGAAAGGAATCTCTGAAAAAGAAAATCATAATAATAAGATAGAGCAAACATTTAAAGACAGAAGCCAAGAAATTATGCCTGAAATAAAAAGAATACTGAATCTATGTCTTGCGGAAAAGAGCCCCCACTCCCCCCAAAAAAAAGAAAAAGGAAAGCTAAAACAAAAACTAACCATTTCCCTGGGCAAAACAGTCCAGAACACCAAGCAGAAGGATAACATTCTAGTAAAGTCACTAGACTTCACATATAAAGAAAGAAACCTTTAGTCAGCCAGGCAAATAAGAATTCCCTAAATTCTTCAATGCTAGAAGAAAGAAGAGTGACACGGTCCTCAGTCAAACTGTACTTAATGTATAAGGCAAGAGACAAATGCTTTGGAAGGTGCAAGATTTCAGGCGCATTTCTTCCAAGGGCCTTTGCTCAGGAATCTACTAGAGGTGATTTCTATCTAAGAGTTGGTTAAAAAACAATAACAAACTTGCCAACAAAGTGAGCACCTGTTGGAAGCAAATCCTCCCCAAGTGAACACTGGAGGCTTCAGGTGACTTACAGCTCCAAGACAGCTCTACTGCAACCTCTGGACAGCTCCTGATCCAGAAGCTCCCAGCTAAGTGGCTCCTAGATTCCTCAGCCACAGAAACTATGACAGCATCACGTCTGAAGTCGCTAAATCTGAAGATAACTTGTTATGCAACAACAGATAACCAAAACGAGGCTTTGCTGTTGCTTAGTCGCTCAGTCGTGTCTGACTCCTTTGTGACCCCACAGCTTATAGCCCATGCAGGCTCCTTTGTCCATGGGATTTTCCAGGCAAGAATACTGGAGTGTGTTGCCAAAAACAAGGCTTAAAAAGTGTGGAATCCCTATTTTCCAGCTTCTTTCCTGCTGGAAAACAGGGAGGAGATTTTTTTTTAAAAGAGAGTTTTTGATGTTCTGTGAGTCCCACCATCCTCCATGCGTTATTACCATCCTCCCGCACAGAGACGAGGGGTTTTCAGCAAAGCTTTTGGGATAGGTGTCCTCTGACTTTAAAGAGCACCAAGAATTGTGCTCGACCCATGTTTGGAAATGACTAAAGGCAAGAGGCTGCGGTGCAGTGCCGCTCTGAGAGCAGGATGATGATAACTTCATGGGGAATGGCATGTGTGCCCAGGGTTTCTTAGGGAAAAAGAAAAATGAATGAGTTTATACACAGATGTGGGCCAAGTGGGAGAAAGGGCCAGCAGGAGATAGCTTAGGGTTTTTGATCAAAAGAGACATATGAGGAAGCTGGAGAAATTAATATTAAGAATGTATATGGGATGGACCACTGAGAGATGTCCCCAGGGAATGAGGGGAGCTCCAGAGAGCCTAGAAATATGCTCCAAGAAAAGCCAGCACTTAATATCTGATATGGCCTTAGAAAATAAGAACACCAGAACTTCTCTGGAAGAGAGAAAACCGTAACTGGAACACTGGAAGTTAAAGGCATAGGCAGGGTAAGAAAACCATGGGACCAGCTGAGCACAGTACCCTTCCCACACAAGGCTGAAGCCCTGGGCCAGGGAGAAGCTTTAACACTAGGAAGCTTCCGTGTTTTAACTATCATATTAAAATGTAATTAATTAATAAACAGGTCCTTATGTTCTGCCCCATTAATTCAATGCTTCAATGATAACAAAGATAACAGTATTTCTTACCATAGAAATGCTATCATACAATTATCAGCACAATGAAAATTCTGCAATTCTAACCCAGACCTTCAAACCTTCGACTGCCACTGACTACTACTGTCTGCTAATACTCAGGTAGACAATATTAACTCAAACCTCACTAGTTAACTAAGAAAGCAGTTTCCAGAACCAAACTGACATATAACCTTGCATATTGTTCTACAAAGTATGATCTCCTGCAAGCTGCCCTAAGGTAATGTGTTTATAAACCATTTTTTGAACAACTGATAAACCTTGTCTGGAATAAAGCTAAAACTAAGAATCTTCATGAATTTTGAGGAAAGTATAATACACTGTTAAATGAAGTTGGATTTCCTTTTTCTTTTCTTTAGTTCCACTGTCAAATATTCATTGGTTCAAAAAAAACTTTCAATGTTTTAATTAAAAAAATAAACAAATAAAAACAAACAAATAAGATTTGGCAATGCTACCTCCGAATATGATACTCTCAATTACAGAGATGTAGTCTTCAGGCTCCTGCTCAGTTGAGATCTCCCATCTGCTTTTAGAGATATTTAATAATTTGTAGAGTTGATCTGAACTCTTCATCCCACACAGCAGAGTGACCACACTTTCTGGTGAATGAAGTATGTTTTTCAGAAATTGACCTTTCTTTGGAGATAGGTTTTCAAGCAGGCTTTTTGATAATATCAAAAGTTTGCACTTGTAGGAGTTTAAATTCAGCAATTCCAAATCCCGAAGAGAGCAATTCTCCAAGCAATATAAAAGGGTTGCTTCCATTTTCACAACATGTGAGAAAACTTCGCTCAAGTACAGAGCCCATTCCTCAGCATCTCCTTCATATATCATGATGATGTCTTTTGCATTTTCTGGAAAAGAGAAAATAATGTATTAATTTTCTTATATTGACAGGCTAAAAGCAGATTATAATATCAGTTCTAGAAGAATTAAACGTATTTCTTATGGAATATGTTAGTTTGCTTATGTGTGTGCATGCAAAGCCGCTTCAGTCATGTCCAACTCTTTGAGACCCTATGAACCACAGCCCACCAGGCTTCTCTGTCCATGGGATTCTCCAGGTAAGAATACTAGAGTGGGTTGCCATGCCTTCCTCCGGGGAATCTTCCCAACCCTGGGTTTAAACCTGCATCTCTTAATTTCCTGCACCGTCAGGCAGGTTCTTTACCACTAGTGCCACCTGGGAAGCCCTTAATTTGTCTATACCAGAGACCAATAATATAATTTGTAGTATCCCCAAAATAACCCTATGGAATTAAAATAATTCTTCAGATGCAACACAGAGTCCATGCTTTGTGCAAGTGTACACTGTACCCACTGCACAAGTGTGAACACAGGAAGCTCAACTGAAGTAAATGAGAGGTCTTGAGATAGAATGCGAAGAGCTGACTCATTGGAAAAGACCTTGGTGCTGGGAAAGATTGAGGGCAGGAGAAGAAGGGGATGACAGAGGATGAGATGGTTGGATGACATCACTGACTCAATGGACATGGGTTTGGGTGAACTCTGAGAGTTGGTGATCGACAGGGAGGCCTGGCGAGCTGCGGTTCATGGAATAGCAGAGTTGGACACAACTGAGCGACTGAACTGAACTGAGATAGAATGGAAAGACTATTCTATGGGATTAGGGATGCTGGGCTACCAAACATGGCTCTACCAGTAACCATGTAATTTTAACTAGATTTAATTCTACTCAATTCCTTTCAGTCATTGTTTCTTTACTAACTAAATGAAGGTGTTTTTTTTTTTTTTTCAAATAAGCCCTACCTCATGAATCAGATTATTCTGAGAAGAAATAAGAGAATATATGTTACAGGACTTGAAAATACTTCTTCTAGGTAAAAATTGGTACATCAAGACAGATTGTAGAATTTCCATGCCCAGAAAACTAATAAAATAAAAAATTTTTAAAGAAAAAAATTCAATAATAAAAAACAAAGGGGGTATGATGTCAGAAACCAAAAAGTTAATGTTGATGAAATAAATAGGAGGTTCTAGTGAGGCAGGACTAGTCCTAAATCTATCTCCCACCCTAAAACCAGAACTGATGGAAAAACTTATAAACCCCCAAACTGGCAGGGTGGTCATGAATCTCTTCCCTAATTGGAAACTGGTCAGGGATGCCCACAGAAGCAAGAAAGGCTGAATCCTGAAGAAGTCAGGACTCGAGGTGAGGCGGTGAAGCCAGCCAAATTGCACAGGAAATTAAGAGCATCCCTGGGCACTGGGAGGGGTCCTGCAGAAAAGGTCTCATTAGAGACTATGATCCACTACCTCCAATGTGAGAGTCACACTGACAGATCTTCCTTCGCCTCTTTTCTCTTATGCCGTAACAACTGACTGGAATATAAACATTCTCTCTCAAACTATAGCTTGCATGGAAAAATAAAAAGTAGCCAGTAGGGAAGAGAACTTAAGGATAAATTACCCAGACAATATTAAGCAAACAGAAAGTCTAAACTGAGCTAAGAGAATCATGAGTAAGATGATGGGATTAGCAAAACAAACTCATAGTTATTGAAAGAGATGACTGCAACAATATGAACAATAATAATACAATCATCATAATAATGAAAGCAACACAACATGAAAAAACTAGTAGAAATGATAAGCAGGGAAGGAAACACAAGAAAAGTTCCTCACAGTATTAAAAAATTAATTAAATAAAACCTAAGGTCAAAAACAAGTTGATTTGATATTTTTAAAAGGATCATTTGAAAGGGTATAATAAATAGATAAAAAGATCAAAAGCCAAAGCAATACCATTGCTCAGATAATAAATCAGACAAAGCACTGACTAGATTAGACACAGATAATATTTTATCTCTGGCCTCAAAGTAAAGCTTTGTATTTTCATAGTAAACACAAAAAGAGAGAACAAAATTAAAGAATTGATGAAAAATCTGATATATATGGATAAGAGCCAAAAAAGGAAAACATTGAATATAATAATACTCCAAAAACCTGAAATAGAAGAGAACAAAGGACATATTAAAAAATTTAAATATAATTTTTAAATCTTTAAAATATGGAAGAAAAAGAAACCAGTTTCATAGAAAAATTGTTAGAGAAAAACATATCTTGATTAAATTTCTCTTGGTTTAATGATTATTATAAAACCTCTTCATATATCCAGGAAAGAAAAGCAAGTCACCCAGGAGGAGAAAAATATCAGGTTGATAGATTTTTTACAGAGCAGTTTCAAGGCCACATTATGATAAATTATAAGATAGCTCTTACAAAAATATTTCATAGTATCTTCATACTATAGAATATTGCACAGCAATAAAAATGAATCACTGCTAATGAGAATGGATGAATCCAAAGACGTAATGTTGAGTGAAAGAAAAAACAAGTATATACTGAATGACAGTATTTATATGAGGTTAAAAAACAGAAAAAAAAATCCACCATGATACAGATCAAAACATTTGAGGTAGGATTAATGAATGGAAGCAGATAAGAGGGAGCATGCTGGGGTTCTGAAAACGTTCTATATCTTGATCTGACTGGTTGTTAAAGTACACTTACATAAAATCTATTCATCTATATATCTTAGACTACACATGTAAGTTATATTGCAATAAAAAAATAAATTAAAATACCAAGAGAAAAAGAAAAAGTTTCAGGTTGGCAGCTGTTTAAGAGGCATAGGGACTTATAACAGAAGAATGGAGCATTTCAGGAGGGCGATCCAAAGAAAATTAAACAACTGTAACATTGTATCATATATTTGAAAAAGTGAGGAGAAATGCTAATGGCTTTAAAATTCTGATTGGCCATTTTGAAAAAAATTAAAGATAGATATATTGCAATCTTTTACATGCAAACTACAAAGTAAAATTAATAGCAGAAAAACACAGCAAAACAAAACAAAAAAGAAAGCAGGATCATTGTATACTATTTGGATTAATAGTATAAATGTGCATATAATCATTGTTATGAACTGAATGTTTAGGTCCTCCCCTACAGTCATATATTGAAACGATAGCCCTCAGTGTGATGGAATTAGAAGGTGGACCAATAGGAGGTGATAAGGTCATGAGAATGAAGCCCTCATGAATGAAATTAGAGCACTTATAAAGGAGGCTCCATAGGGGTCCCTTGCCCCTCTTGCCATGTGAGATCACAGAAAAACATCAGCAATCTGTAACCCAGCAGAGGGACCTCACCAGGATTTGACCTGCTGGTGTCCTGGCTTTAGACTTCTAGCTTCCAGAACTATGAGAAATGTTTGTTGTTTAGGCCACCACGTCTATGGTATTATATTAAAGCAGCCTAAAATGAACTAAGACAATCATAATAATGTAAAATATGTCTAATAGTTTAGCTTCAAGTTGTGATTTAAATACATTGGAGAATAAGGAAAGACTCTCAAAGGTTAATAGATTGAAATCCTCATCTAGCATATTATAGGAAAAAAAATAGGTAATAGAATTAGTAAATTAAGAAATAAGAGAAGAAACACGAAATAGAGCAACAATAGAATTTGGAAGACTAACAGTTCTTAAGTTTCCTAGGAGGGGATGAGACCCCAAGGAAGGGATGAGATTCAAGGAATTAGATCTGATAGACAGAGTGCCTGAAGAACGATGTATGGAGGTTTGTGACATTGTACAGGAAGCAGCGATCAAGACCATCCCCAAGAAAAAGAAATGCAAAAAAGCAAAATGGTTGTCTGAGGAGGCCTTACACAGAGTTGAGAAAAGAAGAGAAGCTAAAGGCAAAGGAGAAAAAGAAAGATAAACCCATTTGAATGCAGAGTTCCAAAGAATAGCAAGGAGAGACAAGAAAGCCTTCCTCAGTGATCAATGCAAACAAATAGAGGAAAATAATAGAAAGGGAAAGACTAGAGAGCTCCTCAAGAAAATTAGACATACCAAGAGAACATTTCATGCAAAGATGAGCTCAGTAAAGGGCAGAAATGGTATGAATGTAACAGCAGCAGAAGATATTAAGAAGAGGTGGCAAGAATACACAGAACTATACCAAAAAGATCTTTATGACCCAGATGAAGACAATGGTGTGATCACTCACCTAGAGCCAGACATCCTGGAATGCAAAGTCAAGTGGGCCTTAGGAAGCATCACTATGAACAAAGTTAGTGGAAGTGATAGAATTCCAGTTGATCTATTTCAAATCCTAAAATATAACGCTGTGAAAGTGCTGCACTCAATATGCCAGCAAATTTGGAAAACTCGGCAGTGGCCACAGGACTGGAAAACGTCACTTTTCATTCCAATGCAAAAGAAAGGCAATGACAAGAATGTTCAAACTACAGCACAATTGCACTCATCTCACATGCTAGCAAAGTAATGTGCAAAATTCTTCAAGCCAGGCTTCAACAGTACAAGAACTGTGAACATCCAGATACTCAAGTTGGATTTAGAAAAGGCAGAGGAACCAGAGATCAAATTGTCAACGTGTGTTGGATCATAGAAAAAGCAAGAGAGTTTCAGAAAAACACAGTCTTCTGCTTTATTGGCTATGCCAAAGCCTTTGACTGTGTAGATCACAATGAACTGTGGAAAATTCTTAAAGAGATGGGAATACCAGACCACCTTATTTGCCTCTTGAGAAACCTATACGCAGGTCAGGAAGCAATAGTTAGAACTGGACAGGGAACAACAGACTGGTTCCAAATAGGGAAAGGAGTATGTCAAGGCTATGTGTTGTCACCCTGCTTATTTAACGTATATACAAAGTACATCATGAGAAATGCCAGGCTGGATGAAGCACAGACTGGAATCAAAATAACTTCAGATATGCAGATGACACCACCCTTATGGCAGAAAGTGAAGAAGAACAAAAGAGCCTCTTGATGAAAGTGAATGAAGAGAGAGAAAAGTTG